ACGGAATCCAAGTTGAAGAAACATGCATACATATACTATACTCCTAATAGGTGTAAAAGATGAGTTTATTTTTACCTTTTTGTGACGAATAATTATTATATTGGTTTTTTTAAATTACCAGATTGTACGGGGGCTCAAATACTCGTGTAAACGGAAACGAGATCAAATTCATTGGTTCTTGTAAATATATTATGGCCCAAGTGAAATGTTACAAAAAAGGTGATAAATGTGAACAATTTTAACCATAGAGAGTGTTACTTCTTTTTATAGTAATGAAGAGTCTAACATAGAGTAAGATAACTAACACAAGATAATAATTAAGAAATAGGTACATATATTTAATTGTTTTTATTACTATCCTTTGTTCTTGAACGTGAAATTTGCTGCCAGGGAAAAACTGTTGCAAATTTAGATGTTTTATATATCACAAGCTTTTGAACTTTAACGCTGTTACAACGTCCTTAATAAGCTTTATATAATACTAGATAATAATGCAAGAAAATTTTTGGGACAAACTCCGATGTACCAAGTCACCTAGGAATCGAACACAGAAAGAGTCCCACAGGTCAATCCTTTTGATAAGGTGGGTGTCTGGGATGAGTGAATTTTCCCCTACGAGGGAGTGCGAGCTGTATAGCTAAATTTGGATTTTCTACAGTAAACGAATTTAAAGGAAATATGAAGTTAATTTGTTTATAAAGCTCGTAAACTATTTGACGTACAGTGTCCAAGTTTAGCATAAATGAACTACATATGAAAAATATTCCCGTGGAATCTTAACATAGTACGTGAACAGCATAGTTGGTCCCTTAATTATAAATGATATGTAAAACAGATTTGTATTTGTAACTCATTCAAATTGAACGCGGTTAGCTTTATTTTGTAGGTCTTACGACTAAGCGATTAAAATAAGTTTTTGACATTTTTTGTAAAACAAACAGTGGAGAAAATATGCGAAGAAAAATTGTAAAAAAATAATACTACAAATAAACAATGTCTCCAAAATTTTTTAGACTTCGAGTACTTACCAACGTGTTCTAAATAATTTTATCTAAAAAATTACTTAAAATCATCTAACTCCTAAAAATGTCATCAAAACGACGATTTTGAAGTCTTCCCACTGGTTAAAGAAGCTATTATAGATTCACACAAAAGTTGTGTATTTTCAACTCTAAATTTCTAATTTAATTAATTATTCTAATTTTATATCTATATCCATAATAGTTCTAATATAATTTCAAAATGTTTATTTAAATAAAAATAAAGGGTTCCAGTTGAAAATTCAAAGTTGCTACACCCACCGCGTTCGCAGGGAGAATAAGAACCCTGGTATTACATAAATATATAGATTTTGAAAAACCATTAAAAAAACCTAAGTTTCTTCGATACGACGTCTAGTTCTCGAGATATTTGACAATCGCCTTTCTGGACAGAGCTCTTTAATAATGTAAATAATATTATTCAAACCGGAAATAAGCCGAAGCGAGGGAGAGGTCTGACTGTAAAATTCATTTGCGATGTTGCCAAATTTACCGGATCTCGGGTTGTCTACAAAATGTATATTTAGCATATACACAACGGATCGCTCGCACTGCCTCTACAGCGGATTTAGTGGAACTACTGCAATATAAAATTCACTAAAAGGGGTGCAAAATGAGGTCCAGACAAAAATCGATTTCTTTGTACCCCCATCATTGTTACATCGAGATATCACTATATACACGTGAATACAAGGTGAGATCCAAAATCGGATCTCGCCTTGCAAAACGGATCTCATTTTGTATAGCTTATGATACAAACTGATCTCGCCTTGATATGAAGACATATATATATATATATATATATATATATATATATATATATATATATATATATATATATATTCTGTCCACCTGTTACTAATGCTAAAATAATAATAATAATAAGTAACTTTTTTTCATTTTTTATGGAAAAAAGGATTTTCGTTTTTAAACCACTACAGAGAGAATATATAATTTGTCTTATATTTACCTTCTTTATAAAAATTTTAAAGTTTTTTTAACTGTAGATTTTACTGAAGCAAATTAAGTTTAAAGCCAGTTTACTCAATATATTGGAATTAGTACTTATACCCTTTATATTCTAACCCCTTTAATTATTGTTTAGAAAAAACTAGTTTCTCTATCTATGTGTCCCTTTCTAGAATTGAATGGTACGGGCCCTAACGAATTGCAAATATTTTCAATAATTGATGTTCGCTAGCGATAATTTGAAAATGGCAAATGCTTCGACCGTACACACTCTCAACTAATGGAATTACTAGACCGTCCTGCGGTATGTGCTGCCATGTTAATTACACATTTTAACTCTCTTAAAATCGATAAATAGACACCACACCGGTTGCTATTTTGCACATTCCAAACTTTATTATGATCGAATTATATCATTTTGAACGTTTATAACAATTATATGGTTTATATAGCATGTTAACTTTACTATTCCTTCTTATATGGCAAAAAAGTGACACTAAAATAACCATAAATTCGCCCATACTGGGAGGAATTTTTCATTCTTACTAAATCTTGTTCTAATCTCAACACGCAAATATTGTCTTCTCAGTGATCTTCTTCTTCTTTCAGTGCCCTGTCCGATTATCGAACGTTGGCGATCATATTGGCAATAATAACCTTATTCACGGTGGCTCTAAATAAATTAGCGGTAGCAAGATCAGTGATCTTGCTTTTTTAAAATCATGTCGTGACCATCAAGTCATTTCGAAGTCTCTTCAAATTAAACATCACACTAAATCTTCATCAGTTTCCATAAGTCTTAGAGCAACTGGTTTTTCGCTTCCTAGAAATTTAATTTATTCCACCCTTCTTCTTCTTCATGTACCATGTCCTTTCAGAACGTTGGTTACCATCATAGCTATTTTAATTTTATTCACTGCCACCCTAAATAGCATGCTTGTATCTACACCATACCAATCTCGCAAGTTCTTCAACCATGAGGTTCTTCTTCGTCCTGGATTGCGTTTGCCTGCTATTTTTCCTTGCATGATATTTTGTAGCAATCTATATTTGGGACATCTCATTACATGTCCGAAATATTCCAGCTTTCTCTGCTTGATGCTTTTTATGATCTCAGTGGTCTTGCTGAGACGTTCAAGTATTGTGGAGTTACGAATCTTCTCCACCCAGGAAACTTTTAAAATTCTTCTATAGCACCACATTTCGAAAGCCTCAAGGCGATTTAGATCGATTTTATTCACAGTCCAGGACTCGACAGCATAAAGTAAGACCGAGAACACGTAGCAGCGAAGTAGGCGGATCCTTAATGCCAATTTTAGGTCTCTGTTACATAACACCTTGGACATCCTTCTAAAAGCAGCTCTAGCCTGCTCTATTCTGGATCTAATTTCGCCGTGATTTTCTGCATTACAATTTAATTGCTGTCCAAGGTAGACGATTTTATCAACTTGCTCAAGTTTGGTATTATTTACATATATAGACGGTTTTATATTCTGTTGTTTACTTATTACAAGTATTTTGGTTTTCCTTATGTTAAGATCCAGACCTGCCTCCCTACAACTCTCAACGACACTATCAAGTAGTGTTTGCAGATCTTCTTGACTAGAAGCTAGGAGTACTGTATCGTCCGCATATCGCAAATTATTGATGACTTCGCCGTTCACAAGTATTCCTTCTTGTTTTTCAGAAAGTGCTTTTCTGAAAATTCTTTCGGAGTAAACGTTAAAAAGCAGGGGTGACAAGAGGCATCCCTGCCGTACTCCTCTTTTAATATTGAGAGCTTGTGATTCCACACCATCTACTAAAACTGATGTTGTTTGATTCCAATATAAATTTGCAATTATTCGAACATCTCTGCCGTCCAAGCCAATGTCTTTTAGAGCTTCGATCAATATAGAGTGCTTAACACGATCAAGTGCCTTTTGAAAGTCAATAAAACAACAGTATATGTCTACAGATATATCACGACATCTTTGAGCAAGTACGTTCATTCCAAACAGTGTCTCTCTCGTTCCAAATCCGTTACGGAAACCAAACTGAGTGTCATCCAGGTATTCCTCACATTTATTGTAGATACGACCATGTATTACCTTCAGAAAAATTTTCAATAAGTGGTTTAACAAACTGATGGTTCTATAATCAGCACAGGTTTTAGCTGTTGTCTTCTTAGGTAGAGCTATAAACAGTGAGTTAGACCAACCATTAGGTAGTTGTCCGCTGGTATAAATGGTATTGAAAAACGAAGTTATAGCCTCTAAAACATTGCCGCAAATATTCCACCCGACGCAACTTAGATACAATAAATTCCCAACTTCTCAAAAACTTACGACATTCACTCTTTCAATATCCATCCATTATTATAGGTCACTTTCGATCGCCTTTCTCGCCAAAAAGCCCAACACATTTCTGACAACAAAACCCAAACATATCTCTCAGCAAAATCCACAGCCCATTTCGAATCAACAGCTGTCAAAAGGCTTCAATTTTTCTGTCACTCCTCTTTTCATCCCAACTGAGAAAATTATTTGTCAAACTGAAGAAGCTATTTCTCATCTTCCTTCCGGCCAAGCCGAAGTTGCCAGACAAGATGTTGCCAGAATTCTCCGTACTTCCAAACCCCCACTGTCAAATAAAAATCTTTTAGAAAGACACGTCTTGTAATGGTAATGCCACCACACAAAGGTAATGCCATTCTCAACTCTTTTAATTATTTCGACAAAATGTTTGAACTTCTCAATCCCACAGAATGCAAACGCGTCAAATTATATATTATAATAAAAATTGTGTATATTCCATTAAAATAGTAAGCTGGCATTTAATCAATTCACCCACATTTGATTGCCTTAGCACATTTTTTAGTAAAGAGAAGACGGGTGGACGGGTAAAAACAGTTTTAGAAAATGGAAAATATAATTTATAGATTAGACTTTCAAACCAATAATGAATACTATATATAATTATATTTAAACACAAGACAGTTTTTGGTGGGATCATATTTTTTATAGTTCTATTAATACAAAAGTTTAAAATATTATTTTAAATTAAGATCAACTTCTAAAAACAAGCATTTAAAACAATAATTATCAATAATTGGTGGTGCAGGTCTAGGAGTTGGAGAAGGTGGTGTTGGTGATTGGGTGGTGGTCAAAGGTCTAGCTGTAGTTGTGTCTGTTGGCCGCCAAGTTGTGTCTGTTGGGGAGTCGGTGGGACGTCTGGAGGTATACCAGGGATTATCAGTACTGCTATCCGATCGGGACGATGATCGCCAAGGGTAATAGCCTGTGGTGTACCAGGGTCTATTAGTGCTGCTATCAGATCGTGATGATGATTCCCAAGGGTAATATCCAGTGGTATACCAGGGCCTATCAGTGCTGCTATCTGATCGAGACGATGATCTCCAAGGGTAATATCCGGTGGTGTACCAGGGCCTATCAGTACTGCTATCAGATCGTGATGATGATTGCCAAGGGTAATATCCGGTAGTATACCAGGGCCTATCGGTGCTGCTATCCGATCGGGACGATGATCTCCAAGGGTAATATCCGGTGGTATACCAGGGTCTATCAGTGCTGCTATCAGATCGTGATGATGATTGCCAAGGGTAATATCCAGTTGTATACCAGGGCCTATCAGTGCTGCTATCCGATCGGGATGATGATCGCCAAGGGTAATACCCGGTGGTGTACCAGGGACTATCAGTGCTGCTATCAGATCGTGATGATGATTGCCAAGGGTAATATCCAGTAGTATACCAAGGCCTATCAGTGCTGCTATCCGATCGGGATGATGATCGCCAAGGGTAATATCCGGTGGTGTACCGGGGCCTATCAGTGCTGCTATCAGATCGTGATGATGATCGCCAAGGGTAATATCCGGTGGTGTACCAGGGCCTGTCAGTGCTGCTATCTGATCGAGACGATGATCTCCAAGGGTAATATCCGGTGGTATACCAGGGTCTGTCAGTGCTGCTATCCGATTGGGATGATGATCGCCAAGGGTAATATCCGGTGGTATACCATGGCCTGTCAGTGCTGCTATCTGATCGAGACGATGATCTCCAAGGGTAATATCCGGTGGTATACCAGGGTCTATCAGTGCTGCTATCAGATCGTGATGATGATTGCCAAGGGTAATATCCAGTAGTATACCAAGGCCTATCAGTGCTGCTATCCGATCGGGATGATGATCGCCAAGGGTAATATCCGGTGGTGTACCAGGGCCTATCAGTGCTGCTATCAGATCGTGATGATGATTGCCAAGGGTAATATCCGGTGGTATACGAAGGCCTATCAGTGCTGCTATCTGATCGTGAGGATGATCGCCAAGGGTAATATCCGGTGGTATACGATGGCCTGTCAGTGCTGCTATCAGATCGCGATGATGATTGCCAAGGGTAATATCCGGTGGTATACGAGGGCCTATCAGATCGTGATGATGACTGCCAAGGGTAATATCCGGTGGTATACGAGGGCCTATCAGTGCTGCTATCTGATCGTGATGATGATTGCCAAGGGTAATATCTGGTAGTATACGAGGGCCTATCAGTGCTGCTATCAGATCGTGATGATGATTGCCAAGGGTAATATCCGGTGGTATACGAAGGCCTATCAGTGCTGCTATCTGATCGTGAGGATGATCGCCAAGGGTAATATCCGGTGGTATACGATGGCCTATCAGTGCTGCTATCAGATCGCGATGATGATTGCCAAGGGTAATATCCGGTGGTATACGAGGGCCTATCAGTGCTGCTATCAGATCGTGATGATGATTGCCAAGGGTAATATCCAGTGGTATACGAGGGCCTATCAGTGCTGCTATCTGATCGTGATGATGATTGCCAAGGGTAATATCCGGTAGTATACGAGGGCCTATCAGTGCTGCTATCAGATCGTGATGATGATTGCCAAGGGTAATATCCGGTAGTATACGAGGGCCTATCAGTGCTGCTATCTGATCGTGAAGATGATTGCCAAGGGTAATACCCAGTGGTAGACCATGGTCGATCTGGGCTATATTCTGCCTGGTTAATTTTTGGTTTTAAAGGTTTTCGATGAGGACTTTTTCGCCACCAGTTTGAGTTATTTAAATTTGAAGCTTCCAAAAATCCTGAAAAAAAAACAGTCTATATTATTTTGCTTGTCTATTCTTTTTTATTTATATTTTTGTATGTAATCACAAAAACAATAAAATTAGGATATAATAAGTCGGAAATAAGTCTCTCAGAAATAAAAACTATTTTGACAAATATACTCCAAACTGAAAATTTCTCAAAAATATTTACAGATGCTTCAAAATCTAGCAATGGAGTTGCTGAAGCTTTTGTGATCAATTCAAGTAAATATTTATTTCAACTATCTTTCCACTGTAGCATATACACAGCCAAATTATTCGTTTTTATCGAGCAATTAAGTTTATTAATGATACCAATATCGTCAAAGCGGCGAGACTTTCTGATTCTCTGAGTTCAATTAATTCAATTCAACGAGTATATCCTAAATATCCAATTAAAAAATGATCAAATCAGAACTTCACACATGTCAAGAAAAAGGAAGAACAGTTGACTTTATATGGATAAGTGCTCGTAGTGTAGTATCTAGTGCGGACTCAGAAATAATAATAAAGTGCAGTCCAGAAGACTTAAAGCTTTCTATTAAGGCAAAAATCTAAGAAGTCTGCCATAACGAATTGCAAATAACAACGTCTAAACTACGACGAATTAAAGACACAGTTAAAGGAGCTAAACCTTGTTACAAAAATTGTCATGGACACAGTGTAGTTAAACGATTACGATTAGGCCATACTAGACTCACACACTCTTATCTTGTGTTAGGTCAAAATAGTTATTCAAAGAATAAGTGTTCCATAAGATTTAACGTAATTTTTTGTATAAAATTGCTGACTTTTTTAGTACTATTTTGTAAGAAAAAAATCTTTTTTGTAACCATGTAATATATCTATTCTTTTAAAATTATATCGATCCGTCGCTAATAACCATTAGGTGGATGCGACTTTGTCTTTAAATAAAAAAAATAAATAACATTGCGGTATTAAGAAGAGCAATTATTACAGTTCTAAAGATTAGCGATCAAAATATTTTCACAATCATAAAAAATTGAATATTCATTAGATGTTACTATAAAGTTAACTTTTGTACAGTTGTAATGTAAGTTTATTATAAAAATAACAACAGTATTTATTTTAATACAGAAAACTTTCAAACAAGTATAAAATTTCTAGTGTAATTAGTATTTTAAATTAATTATCAAAATATTCAAAAGGATTACAAATTTTTTTTAAATATTTTCGGTCTCATCAAACTACATAATATAAAATGCTACTTAAACTTAAAATTTTTTGTAGAACTTTTAATTAACATCCCAAGTAAAATAGTAATTTACTATAATTTTATATTGTAATTATTGAATTTTATCCTCCCGCTGGTAACAGTCAGTGTTTGATGCGGCCAATAAAAAATAAAATGGGAATATCTGGGTTAATTAAATAGAGGAGAATATTATGAGGTTCTTACGATCGTTATACAATCTAGAATAACAGTACACTGAATAGTATACAAAAATATATCCTGAAGAACACGGAATTAATATTAAGGGACACAACTTAATCTAATCACAATCTAATATACGCAGACGATATTGTCCTTTTAAAGAGGGACGAGAACAATCAAATTTGGATATAATTTAAGTTGTGATCAAAAAGTGATTATACATCAATAAGTAGAAAAGGATTTCGTGTGCTAAACTGGACTAATATGGTAGTTATTAAAATAAAATTTCTCCAGTACCCAAAAACGAAACTGTTCTTTCGTCCCGAGACACAGGGACGGAAGAATTTACACATAAAACATCACAAAAGTTAAAGATGCAGCTAATAGGAAATTTCCCAGTAAAATTAAAATAAAACGAAAAATGAAATAAGATTAATACAGATTGTAACTGATGATATTGTAAATACATAAAAAAAGAAGAATAATATGAATGACTTTAGAGATGAAGTCAAAAGGTCGATGAAACCAGTAAAGCAAAAAAAAAATACAAGACAATTTAAAAAGACGAAAAATGAAAAAAAAATTAGCAAATAATTCGTAGATCCATTGTTTAAACTAATAGTAGAAAAATATTAAACATAATATCGATTATAGCTACATAATATTATTATAAATGTACCTTGGTTGACACATATTGCAAAAAACAGTATACTGATACCAAAATTCATCTTAAACTGTATTAGAAATAATTGTTTTCACCTTTATATATATACATATATATTAATCGTATTCTATAATATAAAACCTTAAGATAAAGTTTTAATGATTGTATATACTCGCATCATTCATTGTATTTTAATCTCTATCAATAGATTTGATCTGAATCGTAATCTTAATTCATTATTTCCGATTTTACTTAAAGTTAATAGCCCTCTTCATGTTCGTTAAGATGATACAGACATCATTATGTCATTATTTTCAAAACTTTTAATGTTTCTGCTATTTGAATACTTTTATATAACACACCGTCCAGAATGCTACTCAAGTAATTTTCAACTATGGTCTCCAATGGAATATCTCGAAGCTATCGATGAATCTGTTTTTTTGCTTCTATTAGGTGCATTATTGTATCAATATGGTGGTAAAATTATTTATTTTACCATATGTATGCTCTTCTTCTTTGAGTGCAATGTCCACTTATTTGACATAATTAATTATATTAACGATCATCAGGTTGTTAAATGTCACCCGGAGAGAAGAGATTATTTTTTATGATGCATACTACTGCCTCAGGTTTTCGTCTTAGTTCCATAACTTGTATCTTCATATCCATTACGTACGTTTCCAACCAACTAATGCTTGAGTAACACCATAACCGTAACATCAATATCGAGAATTCTGTCTTTTTAAAGCATGACATTTGTTGTGGTCCTTGAGTGTGCTCCATACTCAGCATTATAGGTTTCTTGTCTTCAATTCCAGTTCCATCTCTATAAAGTTTTATATACACAAGACATTGTTCAGTATAAATTTAAAACAATTGGATATTTTATGCAGCAAACAAAAAAAAAAGAAAAAGGACAATCAAAATTAGCTTAATACATAATAATGTAGAGTCGAGTAGCAAAAGAAAATACGGACAAATAAAGTGACATGGCGACGTGTTACCAATTCCAACGGTAACTTAAACATCATAATTTGTAACCACATATAATGTAAAGCAAATGTAAATTTATATCATTTAAAGGGTTTTGACCCATATATTTTGGTGGCTCATTGCATGTTTACCTCGTTTGCACTGATGATGGATTTAATAATCCGAAAACGTTTTGCAATATTTTTGTGATAGCCCGTTTGGGCATTTTATTATATACCTTTTATAAAGGATTTTAAATAAATTTTTTGTGATATATGGTATACAGCCAGCTACAGGAACTTAGTTTCCTAGTGGGTAGATGAAATGTTTACGATGCAACAAATATAAGGAAAAACCTGTGAATTTAACTGGCACGTGTACCTAACTTTTGCCAATTTTCAACAAACATGTAAGATCCTAGAACGACAGGTGGCAAATCTTAACATGATAGCTTGTAGCGTCTTTATTAGGCAGACCATGTATTTAAGATTAAAGAAAAAAGGTTTCCCAAAAAACTACGGCATTTATTTAAAGACCGAGAAAGCTATGGCAGTATCATGCAAATAAGGGTATCATGCAAATAAGAAATTTTTTTGGCAGTTAGTCGTGGAGGAAAATGATTACAGACTGTAATGAACGGAGATGATTGCTGCCGGAAGGCAGCACTCGAGTTTTGCTGTAAAGATGGATATGATTTCAGAAAAAGAAGCAAGTTATGCCTACCAATAATAGAAATGATCTAACACAAATGTGCATGTTACACATATATGCATAAGTGACGGTAGAAAACAAAACATCAACACCACCTTACTGTTAAGTTTTGGCTTGGAACATAATATTGTCGGTGCCGACAGAGAGCCTTGCTAATCAAATCAAAACTATTGTTGGCCTTTGCTGAGAAATAAATTAAACACGAAATACATGGTGATAGCCAAAAATTAAAGGCCTAAAATTAGACACAACAATATAACTGAATATAGCTTTTATTGATCCAAAGAGAGAATTTTGCTGCTGAGAATAACGCATTGTACTATCTTTCAACAATATTCATATCTAGACTGGTAAAAAGACAATCTAAACTAACACTGTACAAGTCAAATATTCCCCCATTTGTTACTTATGTTATGGACCCCTGATCAAAGATAAATAAATGAGCTGCTGATATTTGAAAGTAAGTTTCTCAGAATGATATTTGGTTCCCAAACCAAAGAGACAAAATAACAGGAGAATAAAGTCAGAAGACAACTTCTTCGTCTTCTAATTCCGTGACCGATATCGATCGTTGGATAGCATGTTGGCTACCATAGTCGCTATCGTGACTTGACAGCAGCTCTAACGATGAAGTCGAATTTTCGTACCATTGTCTAAGATTTTTAAGCCATGATGTTCTTTTTTTACCGAAGCTACGTTTACCTTGGGTCTTTCCCAGCATGATCGTATGCAAAAGCTCATATTTTTGTAGAACCCAGTAGAAGGATACCTAATTAGATTAGTCCGTTAAGAATTATCATCCAACAACAGTTTTGTACTATTTTGAGTTTTCTAATTTATTTAGATATATTTTTGAATAAATTAGAACACCATTGGATTCAATACATACATTTGGATTTTTACCTTAGCTGTTTTTGTAAAAGAAGTAACTTTCTAGCATTTCAGATGGTAATTAAGACTAGATTTTAAATGAAAAAGTAATTTCTTTTTGTATATTACAGAGTTCTTCTTATAATATTTTTTTGTACCCTTAAGAACTGGATATTGGGAGCCCAATATCCAGTTCTTCCTACGCTAACTCAACCGATTCTCCTACAATACGATACAAACATTTTGTTTGTATTTTGAGAACGGTTTCCGAAGTGGAAATTGCAACGTCAATAAACTACTTTAATCTTTAATTGTGTCAATTAAGTCATATTTAATAAATGTTTAGAAACTGGAAGAATCCCAACGTTATGGAATAATGCCATCATAGTAATCATGCATGAGAATGGTGAACCCAAAGATTTTTAATTATGGTTCGATTGGTCTTTTCTCCCTCGTGTACAAATTATGTGGACTACGAGAAAGCGTTTGACTTGGTGAACCAAAACAAAATAATTGTTGCGCCAGTTGTAAAGTAGATGTTGTGCAAGTGGTACTAGGTCAGCCAAGTGACGAAAATTATTGATTAAAAGACCTCCTATATAGTGAACTGACGATCAAAAAGGTTAAAACTGAGAAGATCGTAGTAGGAAGATAACTGATGTTGTCTATGTTTGACAGTAGTATATAGGGCCGGCACCTGTCATACAGATTTTGGATTTGTTTGCTTCTTTCTTTTAAATTTTCATGCTGATTTTTTTTAACTAACGATTTTCATGTTGGGTGATAGTTTTACCTTCATCTCTATTGTTGAGGCTATCGTCTTTATATTTTTAAGGTTTCAATATCATTGCTTTTATTATACATATAATAGAATGAATACATATCCACATTTTGGATAATTTAAACATTACAAACATGTATATATTTAACATTAACAGTTAAAAAAAAAGACAAACACACTTTATGGAATTGCCAAAAACATGAAATATAATTATAATAGGCAACTACCCTAATTAAACTAGTGTAGTGTATTGTGTAAAAGCTGTACTTAGGTACCCGTTTTTAAATAGAAATAGTGTTTTAAAAAGTGTGATTTGATTTTAAGCTTAAACGATAACAAGTGAAGACATTTAACTTCATCTGGCAAAAAGTTATACAAACTAACAGGAGTCGAATTTTTTGTGATCTTTGTCAACCTAAAACGTTGTGCTCTAATAGCATCTCTAGATCTTGTTTCGTGATCATGGACGATGGAGTTTATTTTAAACTTACCTTTGTTGACATCAATTTCAATCAGAGTCTCATATATATAGAGTGAAGGTAGTGGCATAATACCTAAATCCAGAAATAAAAGTTTAGAGTGTTCCTTATACTCTGCTCTTGCAATTATCCTCACTACTCTTTTTTGTAATTTAAAAATTCGATCTGCGTAAGAAAAATTACCACACAACAGTTATTCCGTACTATAAATGGCTATGAAATAGTGCAAAGTAGCACATTCTAAGGGTATTTTTAGGAATCATATAAACTAAGTTGCGTATTAAAAATATACTTGTAGCAAGTCTAGAACTTAAGTAATCTATATGAGCACTCCAATCCAAATTATCGTCTGAAAAGATTCCTAATAGTTTAACACTATTTCTTGAGATATACTTCCAATCAGAACTAAAAATCAAATTCTGATTTTTCTCTTCATTTAGCTTTAGCCCATTATGTAAAAACCAGTTATATCATCTGCGAAGCAAACACACTTTATAGGAAAAGTGTAGTGAAATAAATTGTTCAGATAAGTGGTGAGATAAGTGGGTCCTAATATCGAACCTTGGGGTACACCATATTCGACAGTGTTAAACTCAGAATAGCTATTATTAAGACAAACTGCCTGTTTTCTATTTGTTAGGTATGATCTAAATAGATTAAGAGTGTTTCCCCTAATACCGTATTTATGCATTTTTTCCAACAGTAATACATGCGAAACAAAGGCCAAAGCTTGGCCTTTTAAGAAATAAAAATCCGTGCAGTGTGAATTGTTCAATCTATGCAAAACATTCCTGATTTCAGTATCACTAACAGGTAATAAAAATAAAGAGTGGCAAGGAGAGTGTACATCTTTCAAAAAATCTATGGCTACATTTTCATTTGCAGAATTAAAAGAACTTCTAATATGTTTAGCCACTGAAGTAAAGTAATTATTGAAATCGTTTGATATAATCGCGCTTGGACAGACTTTTTTATTTTGAAATTTATTTCTGTGATAATTTATAACTTTCCAACTATCAAGAGATATATTTTCTGAAAAAAAAAAAAAAATTCTCATAAGCCAGTTTTTTCTTTAATGATATTGTTGATTTATAGTGCTTCTTAAATTTTTTATACTTACTATATTCCTTTGTAACATCAGCAATTATCTTGACTGTGGAAAGATTTTTTTCGCATTTCTATTAGTTCATCAACAAACCAAGAAATTTGAGCTTTACTATGAGTTCGTGATTTTTTTAATGGAAAATTAATTTCAGTTAACTTAACAT